GGTAAACAATATTTAAATGTAACAATCAATTTTGAGTTCTTCTGTAGTTTATTGATCACTATCGCATCTACTCCTCCCTAGCTATTGTGAAGATGGCCAAACCAAGTGTCCTCCACAGGAGTTAGCTTAAATACCGCCCAATATTGCTGCTTTTAAGTAGCTTAAAATTTTAACTTCAGTTTTGGATACAAAAGGAAAATAAGGGTTACTCCCCCTTGAACCATGAAAGAAATTATAATGGCTAGAATAATATATTGATATATATTTTTAACCTCGCATAATCTGGCAAACCCGAATGTGAGCTCAACGAAAATCGTTCTCTGCGCCTAACTTTTTTAGGGCTTTTGAATCATTGAAATTGTTATAGAGTGGTTTCACAGTGGAGGCTTGTATTTCACTAAGTCGGTTCTTAAATAGGTTCGACGTACAAAACGTTAGGAACTTGATATAACAGTTAATGACGCAGCAATCTAGTTGTGGTGGTTGATACTTTAATATCCGACTAACGGTCGTCCGACATCGACTGACTGACCAATTTACTGCGCGATTGGTGACTGCTACTACTCCTACTTATTATAGGTGGGAGAGTCTATTAACAATAGAATAGGTGTGTTCCAGTATAACAGAAATCGAACCAGTGGGAGCGTGACACACACAATCATACACACGGTGATCTTTCGAGGCATGTTTCTGAACTTGATGGGTATAGGTTACTTTCTAAGTCAACCTTCTAAGGCACCTAGATCTTTTGATGTTCTGAGGAGATACTTACTACAAAACGTTTTTGGTACCACTTAGTGTCAACCCAATACATAATGGGGGAACGACAAATAAATTAGGTTTAAATCAAAAGTGGGCATTAAATTCGATTCAAACCTTTTGTATTTCCAGGAGTGAATCACGTACTACGCATAGAGGACTACTCTTGTGGCTTTTGCTTAGTTTGCAGCGCAAATAAGGAATCTTCCAATAAAGATCGAACTGATCAGTAGAAATTAACATTCAGACTAGCTCTCTAACACTTATTTAACCCTTTGGCGCCCAGTGTTGTTATCAGTTTCATGTTTCGCTAATGTCATCGGTTTTGTAAGTATTTTAACATATAATGGAAAATGTGACACTGAAATCCGAAGGAGCATTCAAATAGTACAAATGGTCATCCAAAAACTAAATGTATTAAGAAACAGAGGCAAATTTCGTTAGAAACAAAGAAAAGAGTGTTGAACTTTCATCAGCGTGACTAATGCTAACTTCCAGGAGAGTGATACATTTAGTCTTCTCGAGCTAAGGTTTTCGGGTGGCATGGAGTTGAAAGATTATATTGAATCATTTGTCTGTTGCTAGGAAAGTTGGTTTACCGTGCTTTGCTAGACAGTCTTTCTCCCCAGAATCTATCTTACCAATTTATAAGTCTACCATTCATCCTTGTTTTGAATATTGTTGCCAAATCTGGTTTGGTGCTTCTTCTATATATCTAGAGATTCTTGATAAAACCCAAAGAAGAATCTCCAATGTTATTGGTCCTATCACTTTCCTTGTTGCTTACACGTTCCGTCTATGGTATTCTCAGAATCCTTCTATAGAACCACATCTCTGTTGTTTCTTCTGTGAGAAAAAAATGTACTGTATGCACTGCCATATAGAGGGATTGTTATCACATAGAAGTTCAGCAATCTTTAGTTTCAAATGAAATTTTCCCGTTTCTTAATATTTTGTTTGCTACTTGGAAAGTTTTTTTTATACAATTCCAATACCCCTTGTGATTTCGAAATCACATTTTCCTTACAAGCTCACTCGTTTCATCCATAGTATTTGATATGTCCCGGAAAGGGATATATTTGTTCGAAGCAGCAAAGTGGTTTTGGCTACTATAACCGGTTAGGACAATCTAGCAGGTAGCCGTAATGGACTGGTACTCGTCGTAGTCGTAGGCAATATGCTTAGGCAATAGGCGTAGGCAATAGGCGTAGGCAATAGGCGTAGACCATGAACCGCCACATCAGTCTGTATTTATGGCTGACACCAGCCAATCATATTACTGTGAGGGGGAACCCAGGTGTATGCATATTCATTACATCAGTATTCTTACCATTTTTCTGTGGAATCACATCTCTAACACAGATGGTATTTCAAATGGAAGGATATTTTTTTAAATGGATTGGAGAAGAAATTCTGCAAAACTAGGATTGCAAGGGGAACATGGGATCTTAGACTGTTCTAAAATTTTAGTCAACCGCCTTCTCTTCGAATCCACTATTAGAAAGAATACGAGCTTTTGCGTCATATGTGTTCCTAAAAGAATGCAATTCTGACGAGTTCTTTGAACATGGCCTCACATGAATAGGAAAGAGAAGCGATTTGTTGCTACTGATTGGCTGCAGTGGTCATTTTCTAAGAGAACGCATTTCTTACGTCACAAAATCATTTATCTAATAGCTTTCCCGCCAAATTGCGAAATGCCAGAAAAGTCCCTACCTTCATAAATTCGATGTAAATTAAACAAGACTAAGAATAAAGTTAAGAAAAAAGATGCAGAAAAATAAAAAGCAGGAAGACAGTAATAGTGAAAGAAAAATGTTATGTTATCGAGTTTTCTTTGCAGTCTAATATGAAAAGTGGTTCTAATCGAGGTCTTGCACACTTATCACACAATATTTTATTTAAGATATTGCAAGTATTGGGTTAACTTTATTCCTTCTTCCCCAATTAGTTTGCACCGCGCTTGGCCAGTCACTTGACCCTTAACGGCCAATCAATGAAGCCCAGTCCGTACAGCGGACAGTTTCAAGGCAAATGCCGCGAAAATATACTTTTCTGACAAGTGGATAAACCACGGTCGCTTGCAATATACGGTGCCGGACTTGTGATCAAAGACAGCTTTTGTAAACTCCTCTACCCTTCCTTTTCAGAATCGAGAAAAAAATGGCATATAATACATTTTTAGACTTTTTTAGCATGTCCTCTTTCTAGAAAATAAAAAAAATTCATTTAATTTCTCCAGAAAATTCCCTAGCCGTATTTATTTTGTTTTAATGTTTGGGTAAATATCCGTAGCGAGGGCATAGTGGAAGAGAAGGTAGCAAGAAATTGAAATGATCAAGATAAGGTTGATCGATAATGATAAATATCATTCGACTCCATGAAAGTATCATGACGTGCTCTAGCTGAAAAGGTCCGAACTGGTGAATGAAGTACATTAACAATGACCATTTAAATATATATATATATATATATACAGGGTGTTTCAAAAGATCTGATATCCTTTGAGATGTAAATATCACAGAAAGTACATGATTAAGGCAAATGAAATTAAAAAGTACTAATGTTGAAGATCATAAGATTTATTCTTCCAAATCTGAATGAGAAATTCAAAAGCATGTGGATTATGTGAACACACAAAACGCCTTTTCTCTTCTAGTAAATAGCATTTTTATACCTGTAAAGAAAAAGATTAAAGATTAAAGAACATAAAAATACAAATAAGAAAAACACAAAAACATAAAAACATAAAAACATAAAACAAACATTAAACATAAAGATGCTATTAAAATTTGAAGTCATTTGAAGGAGATCTAACAAAGTGATTAGATTGCGAAATGATATCAAATTTTTTGTATATCCCTTCTATAAATGAGGGAAAGTGAACGGGGTGATCTACACTATTTTTTTTAAATCTTTTTAAAGATTGGTTTAATGGTCACCCGGTTCTCATATCTACCACATCATTCAGTCTCTTACGTCGATTTTATTGACATCGGGACCCTTATGAACATCTTGAGTTTTCCATGCGCAACACAATTCTCTTGAAAGTCTCTCTTATCATTGCACACTGCTTTTTCACTAGGATGAACGATCGAGGGGTAAGTTTTTCCTAGTTTGTACGATTTGGGCCTTCTTCGGTGTGATCTGGATGCATACATGCACCCCCAAAACGCACAACTTTTATATATGTTTTTTATTAGAAATTTTATTATGACAAAAAAAAAAAAAAAGCATTTCATAATTAAATTTTGCTCTCGTCAAAATATCATTTATTAGCCTTGATTACTGAAGCACAAATTTTTAGCATTCATTGCAAAAGTTTTTCAAAGTATAAGTTTGACAACTGATTCCATTCTTTTTTACAAGAATTCTAAGAGCTCTTTTTCAGTTTTGCACACTTCTGCCAAGATCATCCCATGCTAATTCCTCAGATTCCATACATTCTTGGAGAAGATAATGAAGTGGTTTCCCGTTGCTTTCTCCGTTGGGGGGGGTGAGTATAAAAACTGATTTGGAAGGGTTTTCTGGCTATAATAGAGTATCGTGATATTTTTTTTACCGAGTCCCTAATGATAGATATTTGGGGCTAAAACGATTGTCTTTTCATATCTATCAATTTGAAACTTTTTGTATCTACATAGCTGACAAGCTAACAACTCGCATGTGTCTACTGTGTGGTGTCATCAATAGTAAACGCAGAAACACGTCTGAACATGTATTTGGTTCAGTCCTGTTCAAAAGTGGTTATTTTCAGTTCAATATGTGAGTGCACTTAGCAATAGCGTTCGCTACTCATGTGCACTATGGCACGATTAGGTTTAAAAGCAGCGATCAGGTAATCATTCACATAGAATTTCTGCCAAACGGAATGACGATTATTTCGGTAAGGTACTGTGAAACAATACGATGTCTCACAGCTTCCGTAGAATGAGATTTGAAAAGAGATTTCTTTTTGGCATGTTGACAATGCAAGTCCGGCGCAATCGGGAAAATTCACAATGGTTGCAGATCTTCCATTCAGCACCACTTTGGCCAGCTACAGATTTCTAATTATTTTTCAAATTGAAGGAGGCCCTAAAAGGTCAAGATTGTTCATCCAATGCCAAATTTGAAGATGCTATGCTCAGATCAAAAATAATTTGAGACGAAATAAAAACAAAAACGCTTAAATATAAGAAAAGTTCAGTTTGTCAAGAACATTATTATTAGCAATAACAAAACTACAATACGAAACTGGTTTAGAAAGAGAGAAAGTGGTAAGAGACGGGAGAGAACGAGAAGGAGAGACGAGAGAGAGAGATACACACACACACACACACACAGAACGGGAAGGAGAGACGAGAAAGAGAGAGAGACACGCACACAGAACGGGAAGGAGAGACTAGAAAGAGAGAGAGAGACACACACACAGAGAACGGGAAGGAGAGACTAGAGAGAGAGAGACACACACACAGAGAACGGGAAGGAGAGACGGGAGAGAGAGAGACACACACACACAGAGAACGGAAAGGAGAGAAGAGAGAGACACACAGACACATACAGAGAGAACGGAAAGGAGTGACGAGAGAGAGACACACACACACAGAACGGGAAAGAGAGACGAGAGACACACACACACACACAGAACGGGGAGGAGAGGCGAGAGACACACACACAGAGAACGGAAAGGAGAAACTAGAGAGAGAGACACACACACACAGAGAACGGAAAGGATAGACGAGAGAGAGAGACACACACACACACACACAGAGAACGGGAAGGAGAGGCGAGAGAGAGAGACACACACACACACAGAACGGGAAGGAGAGGCGAGAGAGAGAGACACACACACACAGAGAACGGAAAGCAGAGACAAGAGAGAGACACACAGACACAGAGAACGGAAAGGAGAGACGAGAGAGAGACACGCACACAGAGAACGGAAAGGAGACGAGAGAGAGACACACACGAAGAGAACTGGGAGGAGAGACGAGAGAGAGGCACACACGGAGAGAACGGTAAGGAGAGACGAGAGAGAGAGACACATGGAGAGAACGGGAGGGAGAGACGAGAGAGGGGCACACTCGGAGAAAACGGGGGGGGAGACGAGAGAGAGACACACACGGAGAGAACAGGAAGGAGAGACGAGACACAAAGAACAAGTGAGAAAAACATAGTAGAAAGAGGGCTAGTGTAAAAAAGGCTAAGAAAAAAGAAGTCACGTAAGAGAGAGAGACTTAGTGTACTGTTAAGAAAATAGAAAAATAATTAATGTAATTGTTATGATGTTGATTTGGGGTTAATAAAGACAAACGCCAAATAACACGTAACAAATAAAAGGGGTTTATTAGGTTGGTAAGTAGGTACAGAAATCGCCTGAGTAGTCTATAACTAGCTCAGCCAAGAACTTCTCCGACTCTCTCTGTCTTTTGACATGCCACTATTTAACGTCTTTGTTTGTAGACAAGTTCATCTTCAAGAGGGGTGGTAGGTTTCCTACACAACAGTAATAAAATTATAGTTTAAAAAAAGGGCCGTTTTGTTGGCTATTGAAAACGGCAGTTATTTTTTTCTGTTATTTTTCCCATAGCTTGGACCCTAATAGTTGCTACGACATCGGGTCAGGGTGGACCTGGGAACAACAGCATTTAAGAGGTAGTTCCATGTTCCTCAAAACCTCCAATCTCCCGATTAGAAGTCTTGCTGCTGAATGCAGTTTGTCTTTCCCAAATCGGGTTTGCAGGTAGATAATTTTATGATATATTTAAAATCATGCACGAGATAATCAGTTGCCATTTCACAGTCTTCAATTTCATAAAAAAACATAATATGGGTTACAAAACCCATTGACCCAACCCACAAATAACTGATTCACTGAATTAACATTCCAAATGTGTGTTATGCTATGACCAACTAAATCACAAATTACTATCTTGTAAATGTTTTCTACACATTCGAGTGGCAAATCTGGGAATTCTACATTTATAGCAGAACTTGTGTGGCTTATTTTATTTAGCCTTTTCTGTAGTTGTATTATTTCCTGTTTTTCACGTTGCCTTTGTTTTCCTTTTATCCTTCTAATAATTTCTGCTTCTGTAGTTTTTTGATTTGCGATGGATAATTTTTGCCATACTATACTTCTTTGCCAAATGCCAATAATTTTGGAATTTATCATTATCCAGCTCATAAATAAATTTTCATACATTATTGCGTTTCGATTTTAGTATATTGCTAATGCTGGAGACATAAACATTCTATGATATTTTTTTCTTTTCACAGTATTCACCTATGATGCTTTCGACTTCCATTGTATGTTGTCTTACAGAATCTAATACAGATTCTGTAGAGGTCTCCACTCTATGGAAGGATTTTCTGTATTGCCTTTCTAGAACTTCATTAGTGACTTTTATGCAGGCAGTCATCTTATTAAAGAGTGATTGTTTGGAACAACCATAAATTCTTCTTTTTCTTCTTGTGGTAACATGTTGCCAAAGTAGTCGCTTTCAGCATGTAAAATATTTTTAAAATCCACAAATTAGTTCAAATTTTCTATGATACCCTTTACTATGTGCATGGTGTTGATTGGGCTTTGTGATTTATTTAAATCGCTGTAGAAAGTTTTCATCCATGGTCCTGAAAACATTCCCCCAACCCCACTATTCCAAGCACTTTTAATTCAACAGCAGCTGCTCATTAAATATTTCAATTTTTCTTCAGTTTTATTTTTTGCTTTCAGGTCATGGGCAAACGTTTCTTGGTTATTAAATATGGTAAAATACACCCAACCTAATTGGAAAATACTATGCTATCTGTGCCCCGGGTATCTTGGCATCGCAGACAATGGTAATCCTTGTTCTTTGATGAATTCCTTTAGTGAGATCACCTGATAATATTTATCACTGAATCTTAATGCATGTAGTGCTGTAATCATCTGCCACGCTATACGCTCACTAGTATCCCTGTCTGTATTATGTTCACATGCTTGCAGTTCGTAAATTCTAGTGGAAACTGCTTCTAATGAATGTCCATTGCAATTTAACTATTAGATGTGTCTCCCACACTTTTTCTAGTAAAAAAAACAACAAACAAACAAACCAACAACAACAACAGCAGCAGCAGCAGTCAAATTGTTGATTGGAGCCCGGTCGGTCAAACATTTTATTTTTGAGATTAGTGTTTGGTAACTGCTAGTAATACACCAGATGCTGCCGAATGTATTTCAGCCATGTTTTCCAGGCTTTCAGAAATGTTCTTCCTATAGTCTTCTGGAGTCCCATCAGGCAAATGTTCAATTGACACAAAATGAGGTGATGATGGCGTTGTGACTGTCATACAGTTAACATGTATCCCATCTTGTGTCGTTGCATCAAAAATCAGACTGCAACTCTCTGATGTTAAAATAAAGTCAATAGTTAAGTCTGAAAAAACAGTTCACCCACCATTCGACCAACTGTGGATTCAGATTTAATGTCAAATGTTGGTTCCTGTGGGACAGTTAATAATTCTCAAAACTTCCGGGACATTCTTTGCAGCAACTCCAATCAACAAACAGGCATGATGCATCTTCCTGGATGTCAAGTGTGTGGGCCGCCTTTTTTCTTTTTCTTTTTTTTTTTTTTTTTTTTTGACTTTTTTGTCTTGTTCAATATTAGTGCTATTTCGCCTTCTATTTCAACAAGAATATTTATTTTCTGTTTAAACACTCTATTTTTATTTATTTATTTATTTTTTCAATAATTGAAGAGGTCACTGGGGTTTCTGGTGTCACAATCGGGGTTTCTGGAGATACCAGAATGGGCCACCTCCTCGCAGGTCTTTTCAAATTAAAAAAAAAATGTTCTGCCCTAATGCCTATATCTGTAACTTCGCTGAAGGTTTATAACTCGGGCAAATGAAACCTTAGGAAAATCATTTTTGGCGTTTTCAGAAGATTCTCATCTTGCTATGTCCCTCAATGACTTTTGCTGGAAAATCTTTTGAAATATATGGATGCACAGAACTGGTTGTCCAGATTTCACAACACCATATTTCTCTAAACATGGTTTAGTTCTGCTCATCTGGAAATGTCAAAGAAAAAAACTGCCAACTAAAATAGATTTAATGGGGAAAATAATTAATACTTGAATAAATTGAATGAAAAATCAATGTCAGCATTGGGTTTCATTTCTAGAAACATTTCTTAATTGAAACAAACTAATAAAAAGCGAAGTATGACTCACAAAGTACTGTAAATATTTATCGAAACAAAAAAGGAAATACATTAAAAAATAAAGTTATAATTAAAGTATTAATATCTAAATACAAATACACAAGTTAAATATAATGAAATAGGTTTTTAAAAAAATCCATAAAAAAATCAGTGTCTGGCTGTGTATGATTTTCTGGGTCAAAAGAAAAAATATAAATGAAATAAAAATTCACTAAAAATAAATTCCCAAATTCAAAAAATATATTGAAATAGTTATAAAAAAAAAGCAAGCAAACCTAATGGTACTGACTTTGTATAATTTCAAGATGAAAATGAAAAGCCTGTTAATGAAAAAAACTGTTGAAATAAGACTCACTGAAAACAAACACAAAATTGAAATAAATTCCAATGAAATAGATATAAAAATAAAATGGTACTTTTCAAAATTTTGTAATGCTGCTAGGTAGTCTCTCTAGGCTATATTGTCCATTTTTTTTTGTTTTTTGTTTTAAGTAAAACTAAAAATGAAAATTCGTGTTTTACACGAACAATTTGCAAAAATAAAGGTCTTCAACAGCGGTGAACAACGCTTATATAGCAACTGAAATCACATAACGTTTTATTGTATTCATGCTGCTTCCGGTCTTCCGTACATTTGAATTACAGCCGTTTTATCAATTTTATGATATTTAACAGTTTTAATATAAAAATAGTAAAAATAATGTTAAAAAATAGAAGAAATAACCAATAATTGTTGTAAAAATTCATTTTTCATCGAAAAAATGTTTTGCCTTCAGACAATATTATTCATATTCATAAAAAGTAAAAGCATTTGAAATTAAATAATATCTGTTTTGAGTTTTATATGTTACAATTCACAGCTAATGTTTTGGGAGATGGGGTCCGTTTTTATAAAAAAAAAAAATCTTTCCTCAATTCCTTGTCCTTTTAACTAATATAATCACTAAGTGTTCCAGCATTGAATTTCTAGAGCTTTCATAAAATTAGTGGGAGGGGGGTAATATTTTTACCGTGACTTTCAAAAAAAATAAAATAAAAAGTAAAATAAATAAACATTTATAATCGTTTCCATCATTTGTGAATAATTTCTGAAAGTTTCATTAAAATCCGACAATTATTATTTTTGCAAGATTTTTCAAATTAATGGCTGTCAGTTTTTTTTTAAAAAAAGTGCTAAAATTTGCTCTTACTTAGTACTTCCTCCGACGCAAAGAGAAACAATTTCTTTTTTAAACAAAAGTTAGATTGTTCTAAAAAAAAAAATGAAAAAATTTTTAAAATAATTAAAAAATACTTTGGTCTTTCCTCTTCATAATAAACATTTTGCCAATAAACCTTTGTTTTTATTAAGTTTAGGGCCTTTTTCGTCATGCTATTCCAGCCAAAAAGCAGAGGTACCAACATCTTTGGTTGGACAATCGTTTCAGCCTTTTGCTAACTGCCTAAGCGCAACGACATGTGCTTTTATACTCATTGAAACTTCTGGTTTTCGAATATGAATTTTGTAAGCGTCGTACGCTTCATAAGGTTCTCCAACAAAAATTCTTCGAATTTCATTATTACTACTACTAAACTTCCTTTCTCCTCGTCAATATTGAATTTCAACCCCTCTTAAATGCAGCATTCTTCTATTATTGATAAAGACAGATGTTTGGTATGTACTATCAGATTCTTTGTTGAGTCGACTAGCTTTAGAATAATTTCGAAAGTTTCGAATAAACCTTTCCCAGTTAGTTGGCAAATTCCCTGATAAAACCATTTTTGCAGGAGGTTGGATATTTGCCTTTGGTTACAGTGTCCTTGTTTTGGGCACCTCGACGTGGTGTAATGGTTAGAAAGCTTGTCTTGCTAGCTCAATTACGACTGTATAGTGAGTTCGATCCTCACTGGGTGCCCCATACTTTCGGCCGCTTCTAAGTTACGCTTAGAAAATCGCTACAGTGTCCTTGTTTAGAATTTTGTGCCATGGACAAGTTGTCAATTGGACTTAACATCTTTTTTTAAGAAAGCAATTTATTTTTATTTTTACTTTATAAACTGTTAGTAATTTAAATGCAAAGAAAATAATGTTTTTTTTTAAAAAAACAAATGACTTACAATTTATTGTAATTTTAAATTTTTTAGTACACCTGTATATTCCAATGCATTTTTTATTTTTCGTGGTGACTTTTTTTTTCTTTCGGACACCATGTGACGTAATTTAAGTGTATTAAATTATAGGAGGGGGAAGAAGAAATGAAGTCTTTAACTGTTTAATTTGGCGTAGAATTTAAAATATCCCCGCCTCATTCATGCTCCTTTTTATAGCGAAGGCAGATGCTATTTTTGACAAAGGAGATAACCGTGTTGCTTCCGGTGTAAACGGATACACGTACACTGCGCTTTATTATTATAGAACATAGGAGAAATATGAATATTCTTTCATGATATAATTTGTTCAATGTTGGGAGTTTTTCATTGGTTTACCAATGAAAAACTCCCAACATTGAACAAATTATATCATGAAAGAATATTCATATTTCTCCTATTATAAAAAAAGTCTATAACGATTTATAATGGCTGCAATATACAAATATATTGAAAACCAACAAAAGGAATTGCCAATGATCAGGAATTAATACAAACTTTAGTGACAGAATAATATTATTATTATAATATTTGTGGAATTATTATTTGTAGCAGTTTTTTAACTATAAAAATGAATTATAAATCATTTTACGATAGAAATGCATTGTTAATCAGAAAGAAAGGAATTGCTTTTGGTCAGTGATAAATGTATGCCTTACACAGAATAAACCTAACAGATGTATAAATTAACATTTCGTAGTAGTGTTTTATTATAGAAATATATTCTAATTGGTTTACTATAGAAATGCGTTCATAATTATTTTACCATAGAAAGTCATTAATTACGCTTGTCACTCCGAAAGTAATGCCTCCTATTTTATTAGGCTGACTCAAAACGTTAGAGAATCTTTCCTTCAATAAACATTTTTTTCCTTTTTGCATATTGCAATTGACCGGCGATCTGATAAAATAGCGTATGGCATGTAAGTGCAGAGGAGTGTCACTGAATTACTCCATGAATAAAAAATGGCACCTATCGACATTTAGCAACACGAGACGTTTACGAAGACCAAACAGTGGATGTGAGCATAGGCGGTTTGTAATGTGTTTTAACAGTAACGAGAGCGATATTTATGACAAGCCATGTTCCAAGCATGCAGGTTCTTTTTTTATCGCTGGTTAAAAATGCATAGCCAATTGTGGAGAGGTGATTCTTTGAGATAAAAGGTGTTTTGTAGATTAAAACTTGCTCTTTCGAATACTGTTATTGCGCCTCGTCTACCTTTTGTTGTTTCTTGGAAATTAAATTGGAGGCGTTACTCGTGTAATATAAACGGAATAATAAAATGTAATAAAAAATAAAATAGGCCAAATATCTTGAACCAATCATTCCAAGGAGAAAGAAGGTGTTTTGTTTAAAAACATGTCGAGTTCTCTTTTCTATCGCCGAAAAGACCAGATGAACATCTCAAGTGCATAATAAAGCTGACAATAAAACGTATGATATCCCTCAAAAAATCACGTAAACACAGATTAGGTTATTATTATTATTATTATTATTATTATTATTATTATTTTTCGGAATTAAGACCTCTCATCACTTCACCAATCTGATTGAAAAATTGAAAGGAACCATAAAATAGAAACATGATGACGTCTAAAAATCAATTTATTGATTATTGGAAAATTCAAAATTAAAGGCTACATATATTAAGAGCAAACCAAACCTTCCCCTCAAATCAATAAATTAATCAATTGATATATATTGATTTTATTTTTTATTAGACCAAGCATACCTAGCCATATTTAATCTTTAAATTTTTAAAAATGTTGACTAGTAATACTAAAACGATTTTTTCTAGTAGTATTTTAACACTAGTCAAAAAATAATATGTAATAAAAAATAAACTATATTTATTCATTAATGACATTTCTTTCATGATTTGATGAGGGTTTCAATGTTCTTCTAATAAAGATTCAAGTTCAATTCTGTTTGATCACGCTTTTATTTTATCCCCAAAAATGTTTTTGAAGATAGGATAAAACGCGAATGAAATGGAACAAAAATTCACTTGTCAAGAACATAATTATCATTCTTAGCAATGATAAAAGCATACGAATGTAACTGATTATTTTCTTTTTACAGTTGTATCGCGTTGAAACAGC